AGTGAACAGCCAACCCTACACGATGGACGAGTCGTGACGCTGACTTCCCTTAGCGGGCAAGTCACATTTCAAACTTAAACCCGTCCGGAGGGTATATAGTCCCTTATATTTACCTTTACTTGGTGAAATATTCATTTCTAGACCATCTAGTTGCTTTAAGAAATCTTCATTTTCAAACTTGCAACTGTAGGTTGAAGATTTCTGGTGTTTAATTCAGAAGTTCCTGTAAGTCTGCTTACTCCTTGGGCATAAATACAGTGAATTCTTTCCTAGTGACGCCAAGCTTAGTTTTGAGCCGCATTCTTTCGCCTGATCTCTAAAGTGTTAAGACGTGTATACAGTCTATTAAGAAATTGGCGCATTTAAAAGTACCAGTTCTATCTTTGAAAAATTCCTAAGCTTGGGTAAGTTGATTATAGTTTTCGAGGACAATAATATATGTATTTTTAAAGTTGGCCACTGCTGCAGAGAGGGAAGATTCAGCTGTGTGATCGCACAGAGTTCGGCCGTTCTTGATGTCCAAAGATCAGGCTCCGAACATTAAACTTTTCCATGTACAGACTAAATAGTTTGTGCTCTACATAACCCACGCCATTTGTAAAGATATTAAACCATACAAGTAATTATTCTCTGACCAGACAAACGAAGTTTTGTGCCTTCTAGCAGAAATATGGAATCTGGGTCATCTTTTAACAGTTAACTGCTGTGACGTCAGAGCTAGACGCTCTGAGACAAAGGTGTGTTTGACACAGACACAGTGGGCGTGTAGTGAACAGCCTGTGGAGACGTGAAATAAATATAGGTACTAACTGTATACATTGTATGTCTGCGAGTGCAGATGTGAGGGTGGAGAGAGGATGATCTATGTGTGGTAGTGTCTATTTATCTCCACTATATACCTTGTCTTCTATCTGGTGTACTAATTTACAGACATATAAATGAAAGGAGACATTGTCTCCTGTTCTTGAGAGTTACACTCTGAGGAATGGAGAAGGGTAGCAGAGTGTGGGGTGAGCTGGTGTGTGATTAAAGATGATTACTAATTCTGAGTTCTTTCCTGACAGGATGATATCTCCTTAGAGATCAGGCAGACGAATCACAGTCCAGCCAACAACCACCAACCCATACCATTCTGAGCACCAAGCATACCCAAAAAGTCCTATCAATTGTTGCCACCACCTCAACATGGCAAGAGCTTGGTTGTGAGTTCAAGGACTGGTGGACAATTGCAGACACTTATGTCATCAATCCAGAGAATCAGTCTTCAAGAGCTTTGTTGGGCTCTTATGCCATTCCTGTGACCTCACCTGCGAGACAGTCAGCTTGTACCAGATAAAATCGAGGCATAGCTACCTATTGAATCATCCACAGTCAAATCACCATGGATTGAGGGAAGCAGTGATAACTGGGATAAGTGATCTCTTATTTACATATATGCTCTCTACCCACAGCTCCTTGTGATTCCTATGATGAACTCATGTAATATCCAAGAACTACATCTGGCTGCTTCAACATCTGGGTTGTGTCAGTGATTCCTGAACTCCATTCACTGAACATTCTTGATGATCTATTCACTAATATATGTATATATATTGTACTTATTACATGCATAAATTTTCATGGCTGACTTGGGTGTCCCTGTTTCACCATTCTAACTGTCTAGATCTTATGTTTGTGTGAGTAATAAGTGTAATCTGTGTTAACATGGCTATGATAGTATACTATCACAACCTGGGAGCTACCTTTTTATAGTAGTGGGGGTGTCCAGCCAAGTGTGCCTAGGAATAATATATATTTTATAGTGCCAACGCGTGAATTACCCTGCTCCTGAAATAAGTTGAGCTTATTTTGGCCACGGGATATCCCTTAGACCAATACGAGCTCAACATTATTATTTCAGAGTGCTGTTGGTTCTTAAGGAGAAATCCTTAAATCAGGCACTTGACAGGAGCGGTATGTGACATATACACACAATGTGGGCTTGCGACCACACTTACGCACTAACTAGCCCAATAATATCTGGCATTTTTTTCTTTTCAATAAAAAATTTATAGATTAGTTGTCTCCTTTATGTTCAATTTTATTGTCTTCCTTGAAGTTTGTTGCCAGTTGCCACACATTTATTTGTCTCCCTTCCCGTGAATTTTTTCTTTCAATTCTCTCAAACAGCTGTTCTCACACTGGGTGTCGCGCCATCTTGGGGTGCCGCGAGCGTGTGCCAGGGGTGACGTAACGTGACAATAATCACTAGTTTTTCCAAATCTGCTTGAGATCAGCGAAGACTGCAGTTAAAAACAGAAATACCATGAAATAAGCCGAGAAGCGCTCTGGATGCAGGTGTATTTAGAAGCCAATGCTATTGGCAGTGTTGCAGTGCATTCTCAACGGACACGTAGTAGTAGTAGTACATTTTACCCCACTAGGACATCACACAAGCGATAAACACCCGATAACACAATGTGCCACCATGTGGATGAGGATCACCGGTGGAGAGGTCCCAGAACCCGCGTTCATCCATTATACCATATTTATGGCCTGGCTATATTGCAGCCCCTGGCAAGAGCTAGGGTGAGGCTTCAAATAAGGAACAATTTCATCCTCAAAAGGACGGGGATTGTTGACAGACATAATGACTGACTTTCTACCCCACCAGGACATCACACAAGCGATAAACACCCGGGTGAGGATCACCGTGGAGAGGTCCCAGAAACCGCGTTCAGCCTATAGACCATTTTTATGGCCAGGCTATATTGCGGCCCCTAGCAAAAGCCTGAGTAGGGCTTCAAATAAAAAAAAATGTCATCCTAAAGGGCGAGAAGTAACAGACAGACATAATAGCAACCTTCAAGTGATCAGAGGGTACAATTAACTAAACTTACGGTAAACATAAAGGAAATAATGTAAAATTCATCCAAACACTTCAATATATAGCATAAAAGACAAATGAACATTAAATTTGAACCTTTGTTTATTCTTTTCCTAAGTATTCAGACCGCTTTAAGGGTAGGTGTGCAAAAAAAAAAAAAAAACATCGGTACAAGTCAGTTTGAATTACGGCAGACAGGAAACAATGATCGTACTGCAATGTTTCTACAGCCCCTTAAATGGGATGTTATCGCCATTTTTATATAATTAGAAGAGACAGCTGTGAAAACATAATACATTATTGATTCATCAGTGTTCGTGTTGCGATCATTTAGCAATGTACACAGTGCAGATTCTGAGGGAGATTATATACATCTCCGCCATGGCTTTTGTGGGTTGCAATGTTTCGCTTTTTTTAAAGCACCCTCCTGGCTATTGCCAGGTGCTGCAATATAACCTTATGGTTAAACGCGGTTTCTGGGACCTCTAAACGGGTGATCCTCATTCGCATGGTGGCACTTTGTGTCACCGGGTGTTAATGGCTCTGTGGGATGTCCTGGTTGGGTAAATTTACTACTACTACTACTACTACTACTACTACTACTACTACTACTACTACTACTACTACTACTACTACTACTACTACTACTACTACTGCTACTACTACTACTACTACTACTGATGCTACTACTACTACTACTACTACTACTACTACTACTACTACTACTACTACTACTACTACTACTACTACTGCTGCTGCTGCTGCTGCTGCTGCTGCTGTTGCTGCTGATGTTGCTGCTGCTGCTACTAATACTACTACTACCACCACTACTGATAAAGTCGGCAAATGTATTGTTTCATGATTGTGTCTCAGAGTTCTTGTTTTTTTAAAGTCCTTGTTAGTTTTGCAAATAACGTACAATTCGTACAGCAAAAATGTAATGATTTTCCGCCGTTAGGGTAGGCGTAAATATATTACTAGGGGACGAATAAACAAACAGACGTTGCAAATGGTGTGTAAAAGCTAAAAATGTCATTTTTTTTGCGTCTAGATTTTGCTCTTTATAGCAAAATATCGAATTGATAAGGAGTTAAGTTGAGTTGATTCAAGAACTGACATCACAGCACTCGGGGCATTCCAATAAGCACACTGTCCTCATCTTCAGTAGCCAGGGAAGAGTTCTGATACTAATTGGGCCAGTTGCATTCTGATGAAACGTCTGCCTTTCCTTTCTTCTGAGCCTTGAGCATCTGCCAGAACCTCTGATCCCTTTTTTTCTTCTGTATCAATCTCACCAGACTGGTGATCCATCTGCTCCTCCGAACGGTACACGCTCTCCCACAAGGCAATAATCACGTCTGCCTTTTCATGCATCAGTATTCCACCAAGTTGTGCAAAGCCAGCCAGTCTGTCTGTCTGTCTGTCTGTTTATTTCACAACACACTGGCTTGTCCCGGTGAAAAAATAAATATCCAGACAATACTCCACACCCGTGTCATCCGCAGTGAAGCATGCCACTCTGCACGAAGCATGCCTGTCCTGACCTTCTCCAGCTTGCTTTCTGCGTCAGATTTGATAAGGAAAGGCTAAACTAAATGCTCAGTACAGGTGGCAGACCTCCACGGAAGTTATAATCAGGACACCAGTAACGACTTCATCAACCCCATGTCATCAACCCCATGTGCGGGTGATGACGCTCAAAAAGCGGAGAAGACACTAAACAATGACAAAATAAAGTTCCCAAAAACTCAAACAGTTCATTCAACTCACCTGATATGTTAATTCATTCAACTCGTCTGGTATGTTAGTTCATTCAACTCACCTGGTATGTTAGTTCATTCAGCTCACCTGGTATGTTAATTCATTCAACTCACCTGATATGTTAATTCATTCAACTCGCCTGGTATGTTACTTCATTCAACTCACCTGGTATGTTAGTTCATTCAACTCACCTGGCATGTTAATTCATTCAGCTCACCTGATATGTTAATTCATTCAACTCACCTGGCCTGTTAGTTTATTGAACTCGCCTGGTATGTTAGTTCATTCAACTCACCTGGCATATTACTTTATTGAACTCACCTGGTATGTTAGTTCATTCAGCTCACCTGGCATATTAGTTTATTGAACTCACCTGGTATGTTGACTGTCTCTTTGACATTGATGGCGACGAAAGGGTCCTCCTGCTGCACTCCAGGAGTCACCTCGGCCTGAAGAACTTTAACTCTTATAAAACCCCTTTCTGACATTGCAACCACTCCTAGACTCCCAGTAGTTGCCTCAAGCTGATTACAGAAATAAATATACCGTTCCTTTTGGCTTCCTGAAAGTAAAATAAAACAATAGAATCATTACTATAAGATGCAGTCCCGAAGATTGACGTAAATAGATTGCCGTGTAAGGTAAGGTAAGTTTAACCCCACCAGGACATCACACAAGCGATAAACACCCGGTGTCACAAAGTGTCACCATGCGGATGAGAATGACCCGCGGAGAGGTCCCGGAAACCCCGTTCAAACATTAGGTTATATTAGGGCTCCCGCAACAACCACAGCGGGGATTCAAATATATGAAAAATCGCATCTAAAAAGGGGACGACTTGTTTCTTAGTAACTGTCGTGTTTTTCTGTGCACAAAATCTAATGTTCCGTCCCAATCTTCCGTTTTAGTTTAAAATTAGGAATTGTCTCATAAATGGAATGTGTTTAAAATATTCATTTCCTAATTTTGAACTAAACAAATTGTGTGTGTGGGGAGGAGAAGAGGAGGAAGAGAGATGAGAAAAGGGAGGAGGAAGTTTCGTCTTATTCATGGAAGAATACGCCACTATAGTATGCAGTCCCGAAAACATCGTTCTAACAGGAAAGCAGCACATCATAGCATGCAGTCTCAAAGACATCGTTCTCACAGGAAATCAACACATCATAGTATGCAATCTGAAAGACATCGTTCTCACAGGAAAGCAACACATCATAGTATGCAGTCTCAAAGACATCGTTCTCACAGGAAAGCAACACATTATTTGTGCAGTCCCGTAGACATCGTTCTCACAGAAAAGCAACACATCATAGTATGCAGTCTCGAAAACATCGTTCTCACAGGAAAGCAACACATTATTTGTGCAGTCTCGAAAACATCGTTCTAACAGGAAAGCAACACATCATAGTATGCAGTCCTGAAAACATCGTTCTAACAGGAAAGCAGCACATCATAGTATGCAGTCTCGAAAACATCGTTCTAACAGGAAAGCAGCATATCATAGTATGCAGTCCCGAAAACATCGTTCTAACAGGAAAGCAGCGCATCATAGTATGCAGTCTCGAAGACATCGTTCTAACAGGAAAGCAACACATCATAGTATGCAGTCCTGAAAAAATCGTTCTAACAGGAAAGCAACACATCATAGTATGTAGTCCCGAAGACATCGTTCTAACAGGAAAGCAACACACCATAGTATACAGTCCTGAAAACATCGTTCTAACAGGAAAGCAACACATCATAGTATGCAGTCCTGAAAACATCGTTCTAACAGGAAAGCAACACATCATAGTATGTAGTCCCGAAGACATCGTACTTACAGGAAAGCAACTCACCATAGCATGCAGATTGCGACCTGGAGCCAGCAGACTCCGCTGCCATGTGTACAAGACTTTCAGGACTAGGAACTTAAAACACTAGCCTTGTGGACAGCCACTACAGAATACCAAATATCTGCTGCAGACACGCATTCTGCAGGCAGTGGAAAGTTCCAAAGACCTAGCCAGCTGGCATTCTAATGGACACCAAGTGTAAGGATCAGTGGTGGACATCCATCGCTCCACACTCTTCACAGAGGCCCATATAATACGTATCTGAAACCAACGGCAGGGAGAACGTAGAGATGACGATAGAACTGCTGTAAATGTGATTGGTCAACGCGGATATCTGGCATCTCAAGACCAAACAGCGCTAGACGGGTAATGTAGTTAACATCGCAGCGGTCGCTGTTGCTTCCTATGATATTTCCAGGTGGCTATTATAGACTGCATTGAACCTAAAACATTGACCTTCGAGACACCAGGCAAGCATCTAACTACTAAAGTTAGCTGCGTATCCTTTACAGGACGTTGCAGAACCAACCTCAGCATTTTTTGTCTCTTGTTGTTTTTCTAGGCAAATTTACGTCCAGTAGTTTGTCATTACTTTCTGGACGATCGGCTTATCAATACCACTGTCGAAACAAACGAAAGGCCCGCAGCTGGGATCGAACCCGGCACCCTAATATTATGAAGCGAGTTCGCAACGCCTAAGCAACAGACGCCGAGATAACCCTATGGTTGCCTTTCCAGATAGAGTCGCAAAGGTTTTATGTAGGGTCGCCGGGTTTTGGTGAGCAATAACACGTATTTTTAACAGTCCCCGAATTGAAAACCAAAACAAGAAACAAATTCAATGTTAAGAATGACATGAGGCTGGCAATAATGAAAACTCAAACGCAAATTTTAAAGCTTGTTAATAAATAACAGTTTTAATCATTGTTTTAAACATGTCGTATGGAAATTTTTATTGGGTGTGTTTTCAGTAGCCAATTAAAAAAGCCTTCTTGTAAGTATGGGGTCATAGGTCACTGTAAAATAAGATCTCGTCTCTAAGAACGTTGGAAACCACTTATATTTTTACATAAATATCGTTGTGTATGTTGAAAGAATGTTGATGCCTTGCTGTCTACCTCTCTCCAGACATTTTGATGCCTTTTTATCCACGCTACACATTTTTTGACATAAAGAAAAAAGACAATATTCAGTTTGTAAACACACGCTTTAGTTAAATCAAAAAAATATATGTAAGTTGTACCCCACCAGGATATCACACTAAGCGATAAACACCCAGTGACACAAAGTGCCACCATGCGGATAAGGATCACCCATGGAAAGGTCCCAGAAACCGCTTTCAGCCGTTATGGACACAGTTGTGGCCCGGCTATTTTCAGGGTGGGGCTTCAAATAACAGAAAATTGACAGAAAATTTTTTCCCACAACAAGGCAATTAGGCTACACCTAGGTTTCTTGACTGCTTGCTTGTTGTATCCCACTAGGACATCTCACAAGCGATAAACACCCAGTAACACAAAGTGCCACCATGCGAATTGGGAACACTCTTGGAGAGGTCCCAGAAAATCCCATTCAGCCGTTAGGCCATATTTATGGCCCGGCTATATTCAAAGCCCCCGGCAAAAGCCAGGGTGGGGCTTCAAATAATGAAAAATTGCATCCCACATCATCATCAGTTCTCGTTATGCCGAGTGGCACATGAGGCTTCAGAGAGGACTTTTCATGCTTTCCTGTCCTGTGAAATCTTCAATGCAGTTTTCCATGTCAAAGATGCCGCACTCAGGTCACTTTCCATCGTTCGTCTCCATGTTGTTTTGGGGCGCCACTGTTTTCTCTTTCCCTCTGATATCCATGTGACAGCTGTTTTGGCAGGTAAATCAGAAGTCATTCTCATAACGTGACCAAGCCATTTCCATCTTCTCTTGGTAATCATACTGTCTACAGTTTTTTGGTTTGTGGCTTGAAGTAGTTTAGTGTTTGTGATTGTATATGGCCAGAAAATTTTGATAATTCTACGTAGACATGTGTGGTGGAAGGTGGACAGCTTGTGTGCATCTTTTTTGGTCATTCTCCAGCATTCCGCTCCATAAAGAAGAACTGGCAAAATGATGCTCTTGTAGAGTCGGAGTTTCGTTCATCTGCAGTAATTGTTGGATTTCCAGATATGCCTTATCCTTCCAAAAGCAACTCTAGCTTTGTTCAGACGTGACTGTATGTCTTCCTCTGCCCCCCCCCCCCCCCCCCCAGTAGGGACACCACAATGCCAAGATATGTGGAAATGTTCTACATTTTCAAGTGATTGGTTACTTATGGTCACTGGTTGTTGGTTTGGACTGTTTGTCATGATCTTAGTTTTCTTTGTATTTATTCTCAGTCCCACCATTTCTGCTGTGCAGTTTAGTCTGTTACTTTTCTCTTGTATGTGTTCATGTTTATGTGATAGGAGTGCTATATCATCTGCAAAATCAAGGTCCTCAAGCATGGTGAATGGAGTCCATCGTATGCCTCTTAATGTCCTGTCTACTGTGTTCTTTAGTATCCAATCAATCACAAGGTTGAAGAGGAGAGATGACATAACACATCCCTGTCTTATACCCGTCTTTACTGGGAAAGATGTATTGTAATTTTTTATACTGCAGGAAAAGTCTTTATAGAAGAGAGCTATTATGTTGACTATTTTTTCTGGAATTCCATAATGTCGTAAAATTTTCCACAGACGGTCTCTATGGACGCTGTCAAAAGCTTTCTCAAAGTCCACAAAATTAATATATATATATATATATATATATATATATATATATATATATATATATATATATATATATATATATATATATATATATACTTCTCTACCATTCGTTGCATTGTTCTAAAATGTTACGTATAGCGAAGATGTGTTCAGTTGTTCCTCTGCCCTTTCTGAATCCTGCTTGTTCCACTCGTAGGCATTTGTCTACTCCTTTTTCAAGCCGCATTATGTACCTAAAATATGTTCAGCTGCTTTATTTTTTTTTCAAAATGCGGCAAATTCTCGCATACTCTCAAACCTAATCTAACGTACACATATGCTCAAAGATTAGAGCTTCGAGCAAGACAGGGCACTTTGTCATTCACCGCAGCTAGGTCCGTTTCCAATCGTCCCAATCGACATTGTCCTGCCATTGGATCAAGATGGACACAGGCGAGAGAGTGAGGTCGACGAGTTGCACAATTCTTCCTCACTTAAATCCAAGTCCTTGCGCAAGTCACTAGTACGCCCCTCAGGCATGGCCCATCGGTCTGCCTGGCAGCGGAGGTTGCACATGCAGAGAAACGGATGCAGACTAGAAAGAATCGTATTGCTTATCCCACACTTAATGCAGCATCCATCTGTTGTCGGCACTGCTCAAAAACTTTCCAAACTCATATTAGACACCAGCCACCTTCCTACTCATAATCATTGATCGTTACTGCTTTAGATTAAAGTAGCCTTCATCACTTATGATAGACGAACTACACACACATGAGAAAGATTTGAAAGTTAAATAAAAAGGTGGGTGGGGGAGAGAATTACAATATAAAACCACTAACAACGCTGATAAAAGCAAGATCATAAATAAATTATTAAAAAAAAAAAAAAAAACAAGGAGAAAAAAACAAGAAAAGAAACACAAAGCAAA